CGAGCGGCGGCCGGGGCGGGGGGGTGTGGGTTCTGCCGCCTCACCAACGCGAGCTCTGATGCTAGGGAGAGCGGGGGAGCAGCGGGGGGGGTGGTGGTGTGATTAGGCCAGGTTAAAGTAGCCTTGATAAATAATTTTTCGAGTGTCTCCTCGTGGAACTGAGAGGTTAATTGTCAAAATACTTTGGAAAATTGTTCCTTGTATTTTGTCTTTTAAAAAAAAATTCATGCCGGACAGTTTGGGCTTGAGTTGTTTGAATATGGAAAAACTGGCAGAGATTGGAAGCTGGCAGGCACACAGTTAATGAAAAAAGTATTAAATAGCAATCTTGCATAACACTAAATTTTTCATGATGTTGACAGAATCTTTGGCCACAGATGGTAGATAGTGACCATGTCTTTATACTTCAGTGCTGTGAAAAATACAAGTGCTGGACAGCACAGCTGCGTGATGAAGGGAATTATCTGCCCTACTGGTTTTTCACTTTTGTTTTTATGGCAGTGCCAAGTAGGCACTCACATCCTAAAAGCTCTGTGTTGAGAGCATGTGTTGGAAATACAGACCAAGGAGTTAGGAGGGAAGTCCATTTATTTGGACAAAAAAATTCTTGGGACAGCAGTAGTGGGTGGGTGAATATAGGTGCTGAGGTACCAGCCTGAAAAGATGGTATGGGTTGAAATGTCAGAAGATGGGCGATTATTGAAGTCTTCAGTAATTTTAAGAGTAAGAATTACCATGTTAGATCAGATCGCTGACTTTCTCTGCTATCTAGTCAGTGATATTATCTAGCCTTAGGTCCATAAAAACTAGCAGTAGGCCACCACTTAATGAAAAATTTAATGTCTAGTTTAAACATATTAAATAAACTAAAAGAAAAAAAGTGTAAATTTATCAGCTAGTACCTGGCTTGTCTTGGTTTAAATCCTTTATAACATCTGTTTTAATTCAGTTCTCAATTCTTGAAAGTTACTAAGGCTTTGTTAATTGCTCTTTCCCTACAGCAGTAAGGCTTAAACAATTCTGTCTGCATGTAGTTCTCCTTCATCCTCTTCACCTTTGAAATCAGTGGCTGATAGAAAACCAGTTGTCATATAGGGAGAGCTCTTGGATTAAGGGGCTTGTTTTGGTTTTGTTTTTTCCTCCCCAACACCACCCAGGTTTCAAAAATAGTGAGTTGGAAAGAGTGTCCTACCTCTGTCTGTCAGGATATTTAATCCTCTTAATAAGCTTTAGACTTAATGTTTACCTTCTGGCAGTAAGATCTACCATTGAGCTACTTCTTTTTAAAATATACATTATTTTTTAATGAAGTAGGGTTTGCTGCTTCAGAGGAAGGTTGGTCAGGCCGATAGTTGAGATGCTAACTTACAGTATCAAACTCAACTCAAGTTTCCCTGTTGCACTGTAGCCTCCCTTGGTCTAGTCAAAACTCTAGAGTATATCTGTACTGATAAATGAAAAAGAGCCAAGGAATGAGCTCGAGCACTGGATTAATCTGTGAATATCTACAGTGCCCATTAGCTCTTTTCTTAGCTCTGTTTTGCACCAGCTTTCTCCAGGACAAGTTCCTCTAAATCTTACTCAGCACTACGTTGTACAGATCTGGGCCAATCTGTACCAGCTGCAGGACCACAGGTTGGTTTGTGGCACTCTTGTATTTAGCAACATGCACTTTGACATTCATTCCAGTTTTAAAACAGCGGAAATAAGACTCTGCATTGTGCAGAAATGGATTACAGATAAATATTAGAACATGCAGGGCACTTAAATACTGTATTAAGATGATACATTGAAAATAGTACTGAATGAGGATCTTCCTTGCATATGAACAGATTGCTACTTAAATGTTCTGTGTCAGAGAATACTTACTGTGTTGTGAGGGAGCAATCCAGTTTGCTTATTTACCTTATACCATCTGTTATTTTGTATTAATTTTAATAAATTAATGACTGAATTAAATTCAGCTCTTGTTAAACTTAAAATCTCCTGTGACTTCCTTCCTCCATTTCTGAGTACACCCAAATGCACAGTTGGGTGGTAACTGTACTGTACATAACCCTGCAAACTTGGGATGTTTCAGTCAATCAGAGATGAGTTTCAACACTTGCACTCTTCTGAATTGCTTAGACAGCTTTTGTATCTCTGCCACGCACTAGTGCTGTATATACACTGATCATGCTGACATCTCCATTTTCTCAGTCCTTTTCTAGTGTTAATAAAGACTGAGCTTTAGCAAGAACAGTGGTGTTGGCAGTATGACAAGTGTAGAGTGAATAGTAAATGAATTCACGATTAAGATGAAATATAACTGTGACTTTAGAATTTTACCTGATGTCTCTTCTTGGGGGTTGGAACTAGGTGATCTTTAAGGCCCCTTCCAACCCAACCCATTCTATGATTATATACTAACAATCACTAGCAAAAGAATTATTTAAAATCTGTAAAGTATCTTTGCCTTAGACTCCCCCCAGCAAAAACAAATCAAAAAACATGGGGCAAAGTAGACTATTGTGTACTGCAATTGTGTTCAAACAAATGAATTGTTCACTGTAAGCCTTAAGAACAGATTTTTTACAGAATTGGATACACAGGCACTAAAAATGTCAGAACAATAAATTTTGCTTATAAAGAAGTAAACTGTGATGATAGGTTAAACTTGTCTGTCTTTCTCAGTCTTCTAAATCTTTTCTGTGTTTTGGAAACCTACAATAATTTTTAAATCAGAATTCTATATTGTTAAATTGTTTTTCACCTTTATACCCTTCTTAAAAGGACAAAGGGATTTTTCATTAGCAAATACAAGTGTTGACCCAATTTCATGTGGTGTGGGAGTCCCTAGGTTTTATTGCTAGCAAATAATTTGACTATGCATATCTTAAATGCATAATGCCTAGATCTTTCGTGTAAGGATCAAGGTATATTCACAAACTTGTTAGAGTAATTGTACTTCCATTATAATTACTTGTTGTGCTGGTTAGTATGCTTCTAACTTCTAAACTTGATGTCCTTGGTGGCTATTAAATATACACTTATTTTTATGCCAGTAGTATTCTTCAGCTTTAATCAAAGATGCCGACCGAGCCTGTTGGCAGCAAGTGACTCCAATCAACCAGAAGAATCCCTTCCAGCCCAAGATCTGTTTTTCTGCTACGTGATGGGCAGTGGGCAGTGAGCCTGGTAGCTTGAGTCACTGATGATCTGCTCCATGTGGGCTGCCTTCTCAAGCCATCCCTGTCATATTCCTATGACCTGTCTGTCGTTGGACTGAAATCATGCATCTTGTCTTTTGCATGTAATTGGATTCTGTCAATACAGATGTGTTCCAGATTACATGGCACTTCTGTCATGTGTCTGCAGATGCATTAGTCACATAAGTACTGTATGACATTTGATCATAAAAGATGTGGGAGTAGAGCACAGTATTCCATCTTGGCCTCTTTAAAATATTTTTATGACCTGAAGTTCTTAAAATCCTCTGTTTATGTTGGCATAGAAGGAGAATATTTTCCAGATTATATATATTTTTACTTTATTGATAACAGAAACAAGAGACATTAAATAAACTTAAATGTAGATACTATTTCAGGATTTTATTAAAAGTTTGGATTTCAATAGTTCTTTTCTTCTTTCCTGATTTACTTTCTTCTTTTCATCCAGTATATTTATAGAGACTAATCCAATTTGGTTTAGTGGTTTATTGGCTTGGTAAGCCAAACTTAACCTCTCTAGGGAAAAGTAATTGATTCACCAGAAAAAATCAGTAACCTTCTGCACACCTTTTCCCATTCTGGTGCAGCTTTCTTGAATGTGGCTTAGCATTGTGTGAAGTCTCACCAGTGCTGTGTACAGTGGCATTAATAGTGTTGTATGTGTAATGGAAGTATTTTTATTTTTTCACTTTGGATTTTACTTACCCCCATGTTTTCTGTAGCTTGCTATCATTGTGATTGACAGATATCCCTAGATTTTTCTCCTTTCTGCCATCCATTTTACAGCCCAGAATCATTGGTTTATTGAAAATGCATGCTCTTTCATTTTTATATAATGTCCTATTTTTGTGGTTCATGATCATTATTCTCTTCTAGTATAATAACCTGATTTTCCTGAACTGTCAGTGCCTCTCAACATTGTCAGGAAAAAATGTCACTGGAATTTTGTACATTGCATGTTGTAAACACTGTTTTAGTCCAAGAATGATTTGTATTTGCTGCATTTGGCTAAGACTGAAGACCTGCATTCAGTTGAAACTAATTTTATGCGTTTTAGAGTTCAGATAAAACTATTGGATTATTTTGGCTCTTCAGTTGTTGAAGTACACGAGGCAGTTTGAGGAATACATTCCAAAATAGACAGAACCTGCAACCTTTTGTACATCTTGGTACTTCCAAGTTTTTGTCACCCGGGGAGCAAGGAAGGGAAAACACTAGTTGTCTTTCTCACTTTATAAACACTGTAAAGGAAATAAGTAATTCCCTGTTTTCATTTTGTGAAGCACAGCTTTAACTGTTCGGAGCTTCCCAGTTCTGTGTGTTGATGTTCAACAGTTGAAGTTTATCAGAATTTCTTTAAATCTGTTGAGTGCTTTCCCTTAAATTATTTAAATAAAAATGTCCTGAGTTCATCCTTTATTTAAATAGACAAAATGTTAACTGAACTTTTTTAATACCTTAGAGATTTTTAAAAATATTATAAAAAATAAAGTTAGATTTTTGTAAATTCTTTTTTACTCCACTATTTCCTACTGATTTAATACTTTTTAAAGATTGAAAATTTAATATCAGGCGTGTCCATATTCTCCAGATGTTTAACATTTAAGAAATACATGTCTGTGAAGTAACTAGATGTGATGATTATAAATTCCTTGCTGTCTTAGAAGGTTGAGATTACCATAATTTACCAGACACTGTACCAAGCAACTAGATAGCTTTCTGCTAATACATGCAGTGTGGTTATCATTATAAACCAACTGGAAGGAATTTTGTTCTAGGGTAGACTTTGTTTGGCTTTATTTTATGGATACTCTTACTAGTTTTTATTCTAATTTGCAGTAATGGAACAACTGCAGGGTCCAGTTATGCAAGAAGATGCAAATATTAAAGCTATTAATGAAGAGTACAGGAAAGCCTTTATTTTTATCAATAAAGGACTGAATACAGATGAACTGGGTCAGAAGGAAGAGGCAAGAAGTTACTATAAGCAAGGGCTTGACCACTTGCTCCGAGGAGTTAGCATTCCATCACAGGGCCCTGCATGTATTGGGTCCCAGTGGGAGTCTGCCAGGCAAATGCAACAGAAGATGAGGGAGACCCTCCGAAATGTTCATGCTCGACTTGGCATTCTAGAACAAAACACCCCACCCGTACAAGCAAGTCCTGCTGTGATGGATGCCCCTGCTGGGGTGCCCAAGCTGTACCCATCCATTCCTTCCAAAGAAAAGCCAGAAAGACCCCCTGCCCCTAATTCTCTGTTCCTACCACGTCAACCACCTGCAGCAGATGGAAGTGTTGCAACTGTGAGCCAGGGGCAAACTCCAGCGATGAGTCCATCATCTGCAAAACCTCGTTGTCTGCCAAATGAAGCACCTCCTGCCTATACTCCTCAAGCTACCAATGGCCATTTTACTGTGTCTTACGGCACAGACTCTGGGGAGTTTTCTTCTGTAGGTGAGGACTACTACAGTAAGTGTACTCAGCCACCTCCCCTTGAAAACCTGGGAGTGGATGCAGATGAGCTGATCTTGATTCCCCAAGGAGTACAGATATTCTTTGTGACTCCTGATGGGCAGGTTAGTGCTCCTTCATATCCTGGATATCTACGCATTGTGAAGTTCCTGGATACAGATAGTGAGACGGCTCAGAATCGTCCACCTGCATTTCTTCAGGTAACAGGAAAATAATTTTCTCCTTTAATTAAATTTCAAGAGCTGTCATAAAACTTTAAAAGGCAGTCTTCTTAAGTTTGTGCTTTTCTGAGCCTAAATCTCTGTGTGATAATATGAAGGATGTTATAGCTGTTGGAAAAATGGTTTTCTGCAAATGTACACTTTTATGACGACTTCTGTGAGAATCACCTCTGTGTCTCCCCAAGGTTGCTGAGTGCTGATTGTTCTGGTGAATTCCGTTTTCCAAAGGAGTTGACTTAACATGTCTTCTAAATTCATAAAATTAACTTCCCTTTCCTCACATAGAGAAGACATGTTGGTTCACCTATTGTAACAGTCAGTGTAAAACAGGGTTGCACACTACCCACTCCAGTCTCAACTAGAGATAAGCTGTTGCAGTTAGAACAACTTGGCAATTTGAAACTTGAGGGCCCATGTTAATGTAGACTCTAAACTACAAATTAAAAAGATGCATTATTTGGATTTTTTCAGTCCATTCTTGCTTCATGTGGGCATGTTCTGTAACATAGTGTTTCTGGTCTGGTTTCTGACTTTGGATCTCCTTGTTGCTGCTAAGATTGTCTGTTGGAAGTCTCATCAGCAAAGGGGAAACTTGGAAGGAAAATAAAAACTGTTTCCTGGTTTTGGGTCTGCTGGTTTACCTCCACCTGTGTTAGCAGCTTTCAAAAGTCAGCCAGTGACAGCCATACATTCTCTTTATCCTGTCATATAAACATGTCCTGAGGTCTACAGGAAGATACAGGTGCTGTGAATCCTGACTTGTTTGGCAGTGCCTTTCATCTACTTCTACATCTGGGCCTCTAGACTAGACAGTTAAGAGGCTACCAGCCTGAATTCTAGTCCTATGAAAATTAGTATTTTCTCAATGTTAGACTGTCAGAACTAATCAAGAATTATATTTCCACAGTCATGTGGGGGTTTTGTTTTTTTGTTTGGTTTTTTTTTTTTCCTTTTTTTTATTTTTCAAGATGGTATAAGGCTTTTTTATTTTTCTTACTCAATTCGATGGAAAATCAAGTTTGTGGTACTTATCAGTACATTCTGCCTGCCTTTGTTTTTAAAAGGATCCTTTAATTCCTTTATGTACGTCTCTTTTTTAGGTTTGTGACTGGTTGTATTTTCTAATGTGTAACGAGTCTCCTGTTCTGTGCTGCAATACTGGAGTCTACATGTTCCCTGACACGACGTCCCAGTTACCAGGGTCCTACGTGGGAGTAGTGCTGTCTTCAGAACTTCCAGCAGCTGACAGAGAGCTGTTTGAGGATCTCTTAAAACAGATGTCTGACCTTCGAATCCAAGTAAATCTCTGGGCTGCCTGTTCTAAGCCAATAAGGAAAGGTGTAAATGGTCTTTTACAGTTTACAGTTAGTTGTGTAAAACTACAGAGTTCTGTGTCTTGCTTGGTAAACTCACCAGTTGAGAAGTAGATAGTCAAGATTAAGCAACCTAGTAATGAGACTGTGATCCCTGTGAGATGGGAGGACAGAAATTTTTAAATGCTAAGTTGTAAGCTCAGAGAGGAATTGGATACCATTTTGTGTATTCTCCCTGTTTTTCTAAAGGATAACATAGGTCCCAAAATTAAAATCTGTGTTCAGGAGAAAGCATATTTCTTCCTCTGTGTGTGCATACACATGCACACACTCTCTGTGTAGTTTTGATGATACCATTCCTGGAATATTGTGTCCAAATGTGTTTACCATTCAAGAAAGTTAAACCACTCCAGAGAAGACCTATGAAAGTAGTGTGTACCTCAAAAATCTGCCTTCAAATGGGATCTCAAAATGAGATAATCTGGTGCCTTATTGCAGTAAGATGTTGACTGAAAAAATGGAAAAACCCAGTAGTCTTAACAAAGGCGCAGTAAGATACAGCAACCAGAAACAAGGAGAAAATGTTATTGTAAGAGCACTGGAGCACCATTTTTCAGGAAAAATGGTAATAACTACTTAAAAGCTCATAGCAAGATTGTATCTTTTAATGAAAGATAGAATGTTGAATCACCAAGATTTCAATGCAGTGATGATGAAGGACTAGTTTTCAGCATGCCATGTGGGCAGAGTTCTATTGAGTTCAGCAGGGAATTTCATTAACACAGGAGGCCATTAATTTTTACTTTAAAGGAAAAAATACAATAGAATTATGTGATGTTTCAGTGCAGGACTTACTGGATAAAATTCTGTCATCTTTCCTGCATACAAATAGTTCAGATTTGATATCTCATTAGTTCCTTATTGTCCTAAAATTCCCTGTTTTTGTTAATGTTCCCTGATATGATGTCACAGGTGCCAGGATCCCATGAGAGAGTAGGGTTATCTTCAGAGCTCCCAGCAACTGAGAGAGCGCATTTTGAAGATAAATTTAAACAGATGTCTGGCCACAAAGTCCAGGTAAATTCCAGGACGGTGATTAAAAAATTCTGTAGTAAAAAAAAAACAACCCCAAAACTGAAATACATGTTAGTACTGCTGAGATTACAGACTTGATTGACAGTGGCAATGTATGCTGTGCTCTGTGCTGGTCTTCTTTTTTTTGTTGTTGTTGGTTTTCTTAGTAGCTGATTCAGTTACTGCAGGCTACTGTTTTGCAAACTAGCAGATTTCTGGCGTTTTAAAAACTGATATAGCACAAATATTTCAGAGCTTAGTCTGATGGCCACTTCATGTGTCTGTTTTATGTAGTACTCGTGAGGATATAATTAACAACTATATTTAATGTAATTATAGTACTGAGTCACCTGTCTTATTAGAGAATCTATTTCTGCTCCTTAGTATAGTCCTTAAAAGTCTTGTTGACTGTTTTTCTATAGTGACCCAAACTGTGGTGTAACTAAATTATGTCTGGAACATAGATTGGAGTTTTTTTCATGGGGATTTTTTTGTTTGTTTTTCAGCTATAGTTGTGTATTAAGGTTATTTCTCCTGCCCATCCCCCACAGTGTTTTGGTCACATGCTGGAAAAATTTCTTGAACATGAGATTTCACACTGCTGTTAGGCATTAATTGATGATAGGGTACATGTTGGTGATACATGTTAACCTCCTGCATAGCAACCTTCTGAGTGTTAATCTACACTTTTCCATTCATGTTGGTTTTGTTTTGTTTTACTGCAACAGTCATCTGTGTGCAATACCCTGTTTTTATTTCCAGTAAATATTTCAGGGGAATCTAAGAATTCTATATAATATCAAATATTATATTGTGTATTATATTTTGCTTATAGGTTTCACCCATTAATGCTTTCATTTAGACTTTTCTAGACTAAGCAAAAAGGTTTTTTTTCTTTCTGTCCATCATTAACTAGAAGGGGTTTTAATCATTGAAATGTTAGGGCTTTTAGTTTTACATTGGACAAGTCCTAAGAATGGAATCTTAACAGAAACCTAAACCTATTACAGTTTTTTTGCTTTCTGTAATTAAAGTTTAATTGTACATTGTCTATGAATTGTGTAAAGTGATTACGGATTTTAGAAGCGCTAACCAGATTGTAGTGGTGGTTGCTATATTTGAATAATTAACATCTACTCCAGAAAGTAGTGTTTGACATGAAATCACACAGAACCTATCCACCCAGCTTTAAATGGGGAGCAGTATCATGCACAGCTTGATGTCTTCCTTGGCTGTGCCAGTCTGCAAAGGCATCAACAGCACATAGAATGAATAAGGTCTTTTCTTTTTGAATTTGGGAGGAGAGGATGAGGCACAAAACAACCAGAACAACTGCATTCTTTTAGTGCAGCTGGATTATCTAACCAAAGACTGCAGTTCCCATACTTAATAACAACAAACTTGACTCCCTCTGAGAAGATAAAAATGGTGGATGCACATGTTTCTTACCTTTTTTTGCTAGTTAACTTGCACCTACTGGGCTACTTGACAATATGGTCATACTGGCAAGCAAATCTTTTCTTTGTAACTGGATGAAGAAAGTGTACAGAAAATGCTGAGTTGTCTGATAAGCTTTTTTGAATGCACAGCATTTCTGTGCAAAAGTAATTGAATCACAAATTTCCCGTGAGTTTCTATACACTTACCCAACAAATATGCAACATTAGCATTATTTGATAATGGAGCAGTATGATTTAAACCAGAAATCCTGATGGTAAGCTGTGAAGTAGATTCTCATGTATTTACTTTCACTTGTTAGCCTCCAGAAGCCTCTAGTGATACAGTTAACTTGCCTCAGACTGTACATATCCAACCACAACCTGAAGGAGCAGAAAATCAGAAAGAGTTGCCAGAGTGGAGTGAGAAAGTTGCCCATGGAATCTTGTCAGGTACTGTTGTAATAAGAGGATTGTGTTGAGTATAAACGTCTGTAAGTACCATTTAAAACACCTAAATATTTGCTTGTGTGCTGGTAGAAGCTGAGTGGTCAGAAGTAGTTGTTCACCAGTTCCAGTTGTGATCATCTAAAGGATACTTTAAGCTTTATAAAAACAGTGCAGAATTTAAATGCATTCCCCACAGTCTTGTTCACTGCGAAGGAGTTAGGGTTCTCATTTGACTGTATGTTAGGATATCACCCCCTGTGACTAAACCCACTATGAACAGTTTCACTCCTGTATGAGCAGCTATATTAAAGCAGGCATCATTGTTATTTCTGCAGATAAACACTTGTTCCCTTCTGAGAACCTTTGGAATACACTAATGACCAACCTGCTAGGAGGGCTAGAGGGTTGGGTTGTATGTTTTCAGAATGTTAATAGCATTGAGATGTTCAGTTCTGTCCCTTCTGACCCAGCTGGAGATTGGATAGCTATTTAAAAACTGAGTATCTCTATGAAGCTGACATTTGGATGAGGACTGGCTGTATTAAACTTAACTAAAGTGAACTGAAAAAACGTGGGTGGTGTAGGTGCAGAAATCACTGCAGGAATTCATGCTGGCTCATTCAGGGAAGAGTATAATTGCAGACTGTGTCATCAGGAATATTTCTAAAGTCAGTGTTGCAGAGGCAGAGGAGGGAAAGCTGTAGGAATCATTGTCTGTAAAATTATACATTCTAAGAAAAACAATTTTTGCCTTGAAGGTGCATCTTGGGTAAGTTGGGGCCTAATTAAAGGAGCAGAATATACTGGTAAAGCTATCCACAAAGGAGCTTCTAAACTGCGAGAACACATTCAACCAGAAGAAAAACCTCTGGAAGTCAACCCAACTGTTGCAAAGGGACTTCATGTAGCAAAACAGGCTACAGGAGGAGCTGTGAAAGTCAGCCAGTTCTTAGGTAAAAATTTCCATCTCATAGTATATTGTATTTTTGCCTTAAATAATAAATATTCTGTAAAATGAGAGCTGGTTTCTCTAGCCAATGAACTAAATGGATTGATCTGATGAAATCCAGAGATCAGTAGTTTGTGCCTAGTTACCCCCTGTGAGAGACATGCTTTGGGACTAATATTTATTATATAGCCTTGAGGCATCTTTTCCTTTCCTAAAAGAATGGTCCATACATTCTTAAGTTCAGCATGGTTTTCTAAGTTTTAGAGAGTTAATTCAAAATGGTGTGTCTCTTCTTAAGTTGATAACCATGTACTTAACTGTTACTGGTTACTAACATATTGTACCACTAGAGAATGTGTGTGCATGCATTTTTAAATATGCACGTCGGAAACAAGTCTATTAGACTATGTATAAACTTTCAGATAGAAACAGCTTGGTGTTCACAGGTGCTTGGTAACCCTAGCAGCTCTCAGTAACTTCATTCTTTTATTTATTTGCATTAATGTTTATACTTAGTGTCTAGTGACTCATCCAATTTTAAAAGCAAATTGTGCTGGATGTTATAAAACTACTTTGAAGAGCTGGAATGGTTGTAAGAAAGACTTTTCCAGAAGGCCAGTCAGGAAAGAAACAGCTTGTTCCCCATCTGCAAGTTGGGAATAACAAAGCAATGAAACAGTTTCTTGAAATTTGAGTGCAAGATGTTGATTTCTTTTCAAGTGCTTTTTAGCCATAAGACCAACCTTACTTGTTTCGTAGGAAGTGGAGCTGTGCAGAATCAGAAAAAAGGTTGCTTCTGTATCAATTGGGTACTTAAGCATGGATTAAAGTCTGTCTTTCAAATAAGCATATTTAAATAAAAGTAACACTTAAGACCAGCAAAGCTTATTTTTAATTAGGAGTAAGGACTCTTAAAGAAAGATGTTCTGTGTTCTCACTAAATAATCTGCATACTGTTGTTTTATGGTAGTTGAGGGAGTGTGTTCCATAGCAAGCTGTGTTGGAAAGGAGCTAGCTCCACACATGAAGAAGCATGGCAGCAAATTAGTTCCAGAATCCCTTAAGAAAGATAAAGATGGCAAATCCACTTTTGATGGTGCTCTGGTGGTAGCAGCAAGTGGAATTCAAGGTAATAAAAATTCCTTGTACTTTTTTAATTGCATACTTTTCAATGCTATGAACTCAAATAAGCTGTTAATTTTTCCAGGCTTTTCAACAGTGTGGCAAGGTTTAGAAAATGCAGCGAAGTGCATTGCTAAAAGTGTTTCAACTGAGACTGTAAAAACTGTCAAATACAAGTAAGTTATGTTTTCATTGGTTTCATTTTCTACAGCATATTGTCATTGTGTTTGAATACTGGAAAAAAAATCTTATGTAAGTGTAGGGAAGCTAAGTGATGAAATAGCAGCTTATCACGTGCTGCATAATTAGAGCAAAGCAGCATAATTAGAGCAAAGAGCAAAGTTCAGCAGTGAGCACCTCCTGTAAGTAAAAATGGGAAATACATAAATGATTGTGGTAAGTATTTTTTTAGCTGTCTTCTAAAAGTATTACAGCTTCAGGCTACGTTACAAATAATGTTCAGATTTATATCTTTGCTCTATAGTATAATGTCATTGTAAAAAATGTTACTGGTTTAAACCTCTCAGCTCTGAACCTGAATTTATGTAGACTTAGCTAAATTTGAGAAAGATGGAACAATTTAATCTATCAGCAGGTTTGACTAAAGTGAGAAGGTACATAAAAGAAAATTGGTAAGGAAATATACGGCATAAATAGCGATAACAGCAGTAATAGGATAGCCTCAAGTTGCAAAATGCGGACTTTCTTAGAAAAAGATAATGGGAAGAACATAATAAGTTGCGATTAAGATGTTACTAAGATGATGGAAAGACCAAAGTTGAGTGCATGTACTGGAAGATGCTGTGGAGAATAAGGGAATGTATTGGAGTAACTGCAAAACATATGAAATGCACCCCTCAAAACCAGTGCAATAGTTGTGCTAGAGTAAGCAAAAGTATGTAGGTTAAATCAGTGGTGAGTGTAGCAAAAGAGACATTAAGAAGGATCGCTGAAAGCACATACAGGCTTCTAGTGGAAGGTAACAAGGTAAACATCAGCATACGGTATTAAGTGGATTGGCATTTCAGGGTTGTGTTGTGGTGCATTTCAAATAGGAGGCTAGACAGTGAAGTTCTAGTCAGTGCTGCTTTATTAATAATGTTTGTTTTCAGTAGGAATGTCAGAAGGTATGGTACTGGTACTCATTTCACATAAATTCACATTAATGTTTTTGGTTTAGATATAAAAACAGGAAATGTGGAGATCAGCAGTCAGCAGCCATTAAGAGTGAAAAACAATAAGTAATTAAACTACAGTTAACTACAGTTAAAAATATTTGATATGTGATCTTTAAAATCTATCTGTATAAATGTATTAAAATTCTACATCTTTTTTGGAAGCTAATTTTTGCTTCAGTAGACAGATTTCTGCCACTCAAAATACTTCAGTGAAGAAGCTAAATTCCACTTTATGGAAACAAAACTAAAGGGGCTTCATCAGAGTGTCTCTAAATCAACAAAAAACTGAGCTAAAACTTAGCTACAATACCTTTGTGGATGGAATTATAAAGAGATGCTTATCATATGATCAGAATTGGGAAAAAATGTAGCTTCAGAAGTAATATTTCTGCCAAAGTACCATACTTCTACCTTGGTGGGGTTTCTTATGAATATTTAAATAACTGCAGTATCTACATCTGCCCAATTTTTTTCTTAAAAAAAAAGTAAAAAAAAAAGTTACAAATTATGCAATTGAGATGGACAAACTGAAAAATCCATTATCAAATATTAAGAAATTGTAAATCTAACTGTACTGGATAAGCTATAGTCTTACTTTAAATGAGGTTGCCTGTTTTACTAATGTTATATAAAACTGGCTTATGATGTTCCTGAGGTGAAAATAACTAATATATTGACAAATACTGCACTTTTGTTGTGAGATTAATTCTGTAATCTGCAGATCTGATGTTGGTGATTCAAGGCTGTTACTCTATGGGAGAATTAAAAACAAACAAAACAAAAAAGCACTAATTCTTTTTTTTCAGTTTCATTGTTGGTTCCAGCTATTATGCTGTGGCTACTGCACTGATAATGTGATAGAGTTTTGGATTCTTTGATATTCTGTGCTTCTCTCTAGCCTTATTTTGAGGTCCTCAAAGAATCTCTGGTCATAAGAAGCACAGGGAAAAAGTAACTCTGCTAACTGGTGGGATTCTGATGCTGCCAGAAATACTTCCCTTTGGCCTGGTTTGTCTGATTACAGTGCGCTCTGGGGAAATGTCTGGCTGCCTGGAACAAATGGAGTCACTCTTGTCCTCCTTCAGTAGTATGCTCTCTATACTGGTGTAGATGTGCACCTTTCTTCACTGTTTAGTAATTAATATGAGACCGCTGACTTGCCCCCTAGAGCATAAAGAAGCTGGACACACAGCCCAGTGGAGAGACCCGAGGTTTTATCTCTTAGTAGTTGTTTTCAGTGTATCCTTAAGATGGCTTTCTTGAGCCTTTGGGGGTTTTGTATCTCCTTTCCCCCCACGCTTTGCTTCTTCCCCTTTGCCACTCTATTGATTCCAGGTTACTTCAGATAAGTTTTCACTGCATGACAGAATGTTTTTGTAGGCACCTTGCTGTGTCCAACATACGAGCATAGCTGTGTCAGCAATCCTCTGTACCCAGGAGACCTGTTAGACTGTTTTGAGTTAATTTGCTTGAGCACAGCGGTGCACTACCTCAGTGAGTCTACTTTTGGGACTTTGAACTGACATGCCAATGTGTTGCTGTTACACCAGACATGGTATCATGTTAAGCCTTGTAGACCCAGGCAGAGATGATACAGGACAAGTACTAACCAAACACTATTCTGGCAATGGTGGTATCAGTTCAGAAAAATTATGCCTGAGGTGGTTCTGGTCCCTTTTTCCGTAACAGGTGAGAAGGTAGGACAGTGTTTGCTCTCCCTCCTCAGTGCTGCCACCTTTGATAGAGACTGAGAAGGTTTAGCAGCTGCAAGGGTCTAGCTGTGCAGACTTACATGGTGATATAGAGAGTATCAGGAATTTTACCTAAGAGGTGAAAAAGTACTTGGGGGTTATTGCACACAACTTCTCCCATGTTTATGGTTCTATAGATAAGCCTTCTACTCTTCAAAACGAGAGAGGAAGGAGGGAGGAAGACTGGAAGGTTTTTTGAGGAAAAAGGGCAGAAGCATATTGGTATCTTTAAGAATGATCTGCCTGATAGAGGAGCAGCCCTTGTTCACATGGCTTGGTAATTTCTAATTTTATTCTTTAAGCATTCAGGCTGTGTGCTTATTATTTGTTCTTGGTAATGCTTACATTTTTCCTTTAAAAAGAATTCCAGTGAAGATTAAAATACTAAGTATACAAATCTACAAAACTGCTATCTTTCTTAAGGTACGGAGATGATGCTGGCCGTGCTACAGACAACGCTGTGAATTCTGCAATCAATGTTGGTATGACAGCATTTAACATTGACAATATTGGTATCAAAGCTGTGGTAAAGAGAACTGCAAAGGAAACTGGCCATGCTGTGTTAGATGAGTATAATGTCTTGGATAATGAGAAGGATAAAAAATTACACCAATGAAATACTTCTCGAAGCCTTAGAGATGAAACTTCCTATTTATAACTATATTGCTAATCTGTGATCTAACACCAATCACACTGTAGTTTTCAAGCAACTATTACTTAATTTGACATGAAACTGTAAAAGTAGGGAGGGCATTTGTAGGACAAATGAAAGTTGTCTTAACTCCTTGTGTATTGAACAAGGGTTTTAAACAACTGATCAGGGTTTTATAGAAATGGAAGGATATGAGTTTGCAGTTAATCAACTTGCCTCTGTAAGCACTTTTTCAAAATATAATATGGAATAATAAATTAATATAGAAATACTATTGTGAATATTTTTGTAATACTTTATAAAGAACGTGGTGATATAGAACAAATAGGCTTACTAATTCTGGAACAAGTAAGATTACTAGTTTTGTTTTTTAACCATACTTAAGAGTTAGTTTTACTAAAACAGCCTTGTCTTATTTAATATGCACTACTAAAATAAGCTTTGTGTTTCATTGTTTGGTAGAGAATTGCTCTTTTCAGATACCAAACAGCTAATCTCACCCAAAGTTCATGTTAGAAGAGATGAAAGATGAACCTCAGGTTACTAGGTAGTTAATCCTTTTAAAACTTTTTTCCATCCAGCATATAAGCAAACCAAAGATACCAAGGATTTCTTCTAAAAGAGGGTATTTACAACGCTAGAAAAATGTACTCTCCAGTTGACTCCATAAGGAATATACAAATTTTCTTTGAAATTAAGATTTTTATTGAGAGGATAAGTATTTTTATTTCATATATTAAAGTATTTTTCTGTAAAAAGATTCTATAGAGGACACTAGGAACTTCTATGCATTCTGTACTTGCGTCCAATCCAGAAATATTCAGAGTATATATTGTGGCCTCCTTATGGAATACATTATGTATTTGCTTCAACAAGTAGTTTCAACAGTCAGCGTATTTATTCCATTAAATTCATAGTTGCGCAAGGTAAATTTTTAGAGAGAATGAAGACAAGCCCTTTTAATGAAGAGATGTGTGTGGAATATAATAGACACTGCTGTGTAGGTTTTTCATCCTGTTCCTAGTGCAATGTGGAATAACTCCATACGTAGAACCCTGCTACTTTAGCAGTTCATTATCGAGTTTTAAGGCTGCTACACATACTAATATTGGCTGAACCTGCAGCAAACAGAACACCATCAATTTACAACTTAGAAATAAGTTTCATGTAAATGGGGAACATAACTATAAATGGTTGTTAGCAAATGATATTTGCATCAGATTGAAAAAATACAGTAACAACTAATGTCTATTAGAGTGGTAATAGGTGCACATTTTGTGGTAACTACTATAGGTGTGTAATTAGGCTGAGAAATGTGAAACAAAGGGTCTAACCACTTGAAATGTACCTTTGATTTGTGGAAATAAAGATTAAATTAAAGTTGGTTAATCCGTGCTTGGCCTTTTTATGATGTGAAGCTATTGTATGGATCAGTGAGTGGAAAGACTAAGACTTCTGAAGTAATAAAAGAAGAGTATTGAGGTATGTCTACTAGAAACAAGCTCACCAATTAGTTTAAAATATTTCAGACTAAAAAGGTCCATCAAAAGTACACTACAACAATTTCTGTATTACTACAGTCTGTCACTTGCCAGCAAGTAAAACTAGTTCAAGACTGCTTCACAGTAGTAAAAGCATTTTTGTGATGAACTGCATTTTATAATTGGGATGTATGCATTTGTATCTTCCTTCTCACTCCTATTTTGGTTTTGCATATAACTCATGCCCTTTAGTTTCATCTGTAAACCATCAGAACAATAAGTTGTATTAAACCAACGGTTAAAATAAAAGTGTTAATGTCTTCAAGAGACCAAGTTGTAGCATACTGAGGAAAAAAAGATTTAAATGTCCTCAGTATCAGGCAAGCATTGTTGTCCTGTTCAACCTGCTGTTCTCTTTACGTGGACTCTCCTCTCAAATTTGTCTCAAAGTAGATTGAAACTAATTTTTTTTAATAATATCTACCCCATTTTACAGTTTTCACTATGATACACCCTTTTACATTGTTCGAAAGTTCAGTTAATTCTCACTGCTGAAAGTATTACACTGTTGAACTTACCCTGCTACAAGCTGTCACTACTTGGGCCCTGGTCAGCAAATCCATAGGCTTCTCCCCACTTCCTCCACCATATAAAACAGCCTTCACACACTTACTGCATTATTTTGGCTCTCCCTTTTACACACTAAGCTCCCTAAGCCTGTCTTAGGTTTGTTTTCTACTCCCAGCTGGGGTTTGTTTCTTCTTTGAGCACTGAACATCTGATGCATGGCAGTCCTAAAAGTAAGTCATCCTAATGCTGTTTACCAAGTGAACACCTACCCAATTTCCTAATGCAGTGCTATTTCTAAATTCATTTATTCAGTCTTCTAAGATATTGGTCTCAAATCCTGTCTTGAGAAGGTTACTTTTAAGGACCTCCAAGTCATTCTAAGCTACTGCTGTCTCTGGCATCATCATTCTGTAGGTATAAACCACTGTTCTTGCCTCAAGTCTAAAACCTTGCATTTGAATGGATTCCTCTAGATTCCAATGGTAGGTTATTTTTTTTAATGCTGATTTAAAAACACTTTGGGATAGCCTGTTTCTTAATATTCCCTGACAAACTAAATCTGTAATCCTTTAAAAAGAATTGGTAAAACTAACTTCCAGTAAAACTACCTTCCAAGTGGTTTAACCCTAGCCGGGAACTAAGCCCCATGCTCACTCACTCCCCTCCTGGTGAGATGGGTGGGTAAATGGGAAGGGTAAAAGTAAGAAAACTTGTGGGTTAAGAACAGTTTAGTAATTGAAATAATAATAAATTTAATGAAAATAACAGAGATAAATAAAACCCAAAAGAAACAAGTGATGCAAATGAAAAACAATTGCTCACCACCAATGGACCGATGCCCAGCCAGGGCCTGAGCAGCAGCCCCCAGCCAGCTTTTGCCCTAGTTGATATGCTGAGCACTATATCATATGGTCTGGAATATCCCTTTGGTTAGGGGGGGACAGCTGTCCCAGCTGTGTCCCCTCCCGAGTTCTTGTGTCCCTGAGCAGCCTCATTGGCAGGGCAGCATGAGAAGCTGAAAAGACCTTAACTTAGTGTAAGCACTGCTCAGCAACAGCTAAAACAGTGTGTTGTCAACACGATGCTCATCCTAAATCCAAAACACAGCACTGTACCAGCTACTAGGAAGAAAATTAACCCAGCTGAAACCAGGACACCAACTCACCACAGAATGGTGTAGGTTGGAAGGGACCTCTGGAGGTCCCAGACTACAAAGGTCTGTATCCCACCCTCCTTCTCAAAACAGATCCAGCTGGAGCACAGTATTCTGCACTAATTCTGCTCATGGTCTGATTATCCACAAGGGTGATTACAGTCTCTCAGGGCAACCTTTGCCAAGTTTAACTCTGATGAAGTTAAATATTTCTCTCTTATACTGGGCCAAAAATTTTTATATGCACTCGGGTGCATTGCTACTTATCCTTCTGTAGTGCATACTGGAGAAAAGTCTGGCTTCTCTGTCTCCTCTACGCCCTCTTACGTAGCTGTTGACAGCACTATCTCCTTATGCCTTCTCTTTTCCACACTGAACATAGGCCACATGTGCCATCCCCTGACCTAAGGCAGCCCTTAGGATTTGTGTGGGAGCCCAAAGCTGCAGCACTCCAGCATGTGGTCCCATGGGCGCTGAACGGAGTGGAAGAACCACCTCCCTCAACCTCCTGGCTATGTTCTTGCTAACAGCCCCGGAGGCTGTTGGCCTTGTTCGCAGCAGGATGCACTGTGGTTCGTGGTCAGCTTGTTCACTAGAGACCCCTGTGACTTTTCCTGTGAAGTTGCATTCTAGTTACTACCCCCAACCTGTACTGATCCATGGGCTTTTCCCATGCCAAATTCTGGATGTACTTGCTTTTTGTTCCATTTCATTAGGTTCCTTTCAGCAGCCTGTTTCTCCAGGCTGTATACCCTGCTCTGCATGGCAGCCCTACCCACCTGCATAGTGACCCCTGCCCACAATTCAGCAGCAGCAGCAAACTTGCTGAGAGTGTGCTCAGTCTTCCAGGATGTTAATAAAGAATTAAGAGTATTGCTTCAGGTATTGAGCCCAGAGTCAACTATTCATACTGATGATCACCACACTTTAAGCCTGATGGCCTGGCCAATTTTCCAGCAACTTTATTTCTCAGTTACCCAATCAATAACTCACCAATGTGGCTATAAAGGTAATGTGGGACACTACATCAAAATCCTTGGTGCAGTCAAAACACACAATATCCACCAGTTTCCCTTGTCCACACAGCCAGTCATCATACCCTAGTTACTGGTGCTACAGAAATAACTACTTTATAAAAATGATGTCATAATCCAAATGTTTGTCTTCAGCAACAGATCTACCTTGCTTTTAAGCAACTGTTTATTGACTTCACGTAATCCAAAGATACGTATTTAAGTATAAAATTCTGTTTTCAAACCACATTATGTTGTGATCAAGTTTCCTAAGTTTTCTTAGTCAAAATTTTAAGCTCAAAAATAACATTAGAAGTCTTATATCAATGAAAGTACCTTTATAGGTATCCATATATCTAATTTTAACTGATTTATTTGGTATAAAGAAATGGAGGAAAATTCTCACGTGTTGCAAGTGTAGCTATGCTACTGCTGTGATTGTTAAAAATAGTGATGTTTTGAAGTTTTACACACTCACACAAGACCTCAGTACACAAAACACTCACTTTTCTCCCACTCCTGTTACCAAACCATGTGGCAAAGCACGCAGTTATACCAGCTGTCCTGTGCCAACCCAACCCATGTGGTCTGGGCTCATCCTTACGTGCACTGTGACCTAGTTCCTGAGAGCTTACCTAGTTCCTGAGAGTTTACCTAGTTAGCTTACCTAGTAATCCCAGAGTTGAGGTTGAGACCTGAAAGTATCGTCGAGAGGTCAAAGAAAAGTCTCCTGGGGCAGAGAGAGTACACTGCGGCTGGGATACAGCCCTCAGTTAACTCTGTGCATTCTGCTCTCAGACTTCTTTGTGATTCCAGGGATCATTCTAGGCTCTCTAAATGTGCCCTCCAGTTGAGAACTATTCCGAAGGCTGGTTAAATTAATCTTGAGGCAGTTCTTCACAAAAACGGGTAACAAGAAAAATGGTTACTGATTAACACCTTTGCTGTTAAGATTCAGCACACTCAGTTATGAATGCTAACCTAGCTCCAAGGCATTGCTTAGATTATTGGTTTGGTATGGAATGTGTTTTCAATATGTATCATAAAATTGTAGCATTCCGTGATCCTGAAGGCAAAATGAGCAGCTAAATTTAAATGCAGTTACACTGCAGCACTATTCTGATTTTGTTTCTTGATTAAAGTATTTCAGATAATTTTTAATTTGAACCACACCTCAAGTGGTAATTCACTGATTAGATGATAGAATTAGTTATAACTTGAGACTGTCAAAAATCACCTCCTGCTCTAATATGTATCACAGAGACGAAATTAAAATGATGACTTCTTACGATCAAGCTTCTCACTCTCCATCCTTCTGTTTTATCCTCAGACACTAGATCCTGCTGGATCAGTGACCCTGCTGTTTCAGTATCAGTAAGGTGTTGGACTGGCCCATTCCAGTGTCACACACTACCACTTTAGGACTAAAATCCACAAGATTTCAGCATTGACTTTTGGATGGCAATGCTGATTTATGCTTTGTTAAAGTAATGGTAATACATGACTCCTGTTTTAATCTTTGAAAGTAATGCCTCTGTTACCCAACAAGCTGCAGGGCTATTGCATTTGGCTTGCTACTCATGCAGTGGAATTCCTTGAACTGAGAAACTAAACCCTTTGTTTATTCACAGTATACCGGTAAAGCAAAATTATAGTCCATCTCCTTCCTGAGAAAGTGAACTGCTAGTTCCTCTAGTGAGCACTAGGGCCCATGAAATGGTGAGTTGATCTAAGAGCACACTAATCATTCCCAGTTTGTCCCTCTTACCAACTCTGGTGCTTTTCTGAGCAGCTGGTGAACCACTTCAGCTCACTCATCAACAGAAACTGCAAATATTAAACATTTTTCCTGATGTAAGTTTTCTAGTTTTCATGAGCTGTAATGGCCTGTTGGGGAGTTACCTGAATGTCAGAACTGGCACTGAAGCAGCCAGAGAAGGTGTCAGGGAGAACTAGACAGAGGTGATGCCACTCTTACGGCAATTAAGCTGTTAGGTTATTGCAATCCACCCCATAAAGCTTTACCTTGAGAAAGCCATGAACCCATCTGAAATCCCTTGCTTGAAAAATGCATGAATTTCAAAGCATGAATCCAGACCATTGTAAGATAATTAAAATATTGGTGTAGATTGACTAATTGACTCCGTTGACTTGATCAGTGAAGATTAAGACCCATTATTCTAAACTCTTCTGTCCGGTCTCAGGTTAGGCTCTTGCAAACTAGTTTATGCACAGTACAGATCACAGTTACCAAGGGTGATAAAATACTGGCTAGGCACTCGGTTTTAAGACCAGACCTCACAGTGCTGTGTCTGCCTTCACATGTGGGTCAAAGCATTTATTTAAAACCGTGCTACTTTCCATCCAAAAGAAGTGTTTTAAAAAAAAAAAAAATCTGCACGTATTTGTGTTTCCCAGGTCATGAAAAGCTTGGCACAGCAACAGTTCAACCTATACGGTCAAAACTCTTCAATTGGGCCAAAACTGTGTGTGTCCCATTTCTGGTGCTGCTCCAGCCACGTGCTGGGGATTTCCCTGGACGGAGGGAAGGAAAAACCCACCCAACTAGGGGCAGGTACAGTGACGGACGAGAGCCGCCACGAACGCGTGCAGGTTGGACGGCAACGGCCACGGGAGGTGCTGCCGGCCCCCGCCTGGCCCGGGCAGCGGGAGTGC